TTTTTATTTCAAAGCAGATTTAAAGAAAGGTTTCAAAGGATTATTATATCGTATTTGCCTGTTGCGAGTGGATAATACAGTAGTCTTTAAGGTAAGCCTTTGCCCATTCCTATGTACCTTAAAGGAAGTTAAGTACAAAAGTACAAAAACATGTCTCCATATGAAGTGACTGTTTTATTTATTTTTGAATTCTTCCATAAGCCAAAATACCCTTAATTTAAATTAGTTTTAGGTTATATTTTTAGGTTTATATTCCGAAGTGTGTTACCATTGACTATTGACTATTGGATACTGAAGTAGACGTCCCATCTATATGGACCAGCTGTAGCCATTTTTTTGTTAAAAGAAACATTGTGTGAGCATGCCACAGAATGCGCTAGTGACTAAAACTCTATTTTCTCCCTTATCTTTTGTTGCTGGCCAAGTTGATGGGTTATAACAGTTGCTATAGCTCACAATAAGTAATTTCATTAGTCTGAATTGGTAAAAAAGATTATGTATTGAACAAAAATCTGTAATTTTGATCAGCACAATCTGTCGGTGGCTACATCAACCACGACAATTTTGTAAAAAAACTGACTGCAAATTTAACTTGGGACGGAATGTCTGGAAAGAATACATAAACTGCGAAAGTGCATTATTTATGTTACATATATATCTCCGAAAATGATTTTCACTAATTTAGGGTGAAGATTGTTTCAGAAGATTTATAAATCATCGTTACAATAGTGCTATACTGATAATTAATAGATACTTTCTCTATAAGTGTTATTATTATAAATAAATTAAAATGAACTGTTACAATACGTATGTCTGGAATATTTTGTTGCTGAGGATTTTTACCTTTGGTGAAATAACTCAATATCTTTTTAAATGATCTTTTTTCCATGCCACTATTAATAACCTTACCGGCTGTGTTACTGTCTTCTTCATTTTCCATACATGCTCTATTTTGTCATACATTAAAACTTTTAGGAAACATATTTTTTTTATGTTGTAAAGTTTTTCGACACTCTGTTTAATGGATGTAGTATGTTAAATGATAGGTCGAGCTAGCTGGCATGATTGTAAACTGTCAGATACAGCCGTAGCCAGAGGCGCCGCGCCACGTTGCGTGTTGGATGGTTGGATGCTGGCCAACTCTTTAAGTATAACGATGCAAACATTCCGACTATCGATCCTAAAAGTTCAAAATATAAATTCAATAAATTGAGGTAAATATATTGGTGAAAACATCACATTAGCTTTACTTATGGGAAAGACAGCCCTTAATTAATTTAATTGTATAGAGGAACATTAATTTAATTTTTTAGGGTACATATAAATGAAGTCCACATAAAATTAAAGGGGAATATTCAGTCTCATGCGGTATATTTTTAACCACCTATTTATGCCACTTTTGAACATCATGTTTTGACGAAAACTGTCAAACATTTATTATTAAATAAAATCAATCAATCGTTGACATAGCCTTAATGGGACGACCTTATTTAAGTTTAATTTTGAACATTAAGAGGGTTATACATTTTCTTTTATAAAATGTCTTGGCCAAAAAATAAAATTTAACACAGTAGTTATCTTGTGGAACGGTGCAATAAACTTTGGTACAAAACCCTATTTCTGCAAAGTACTATTAACATTTCTAATTGCTTATTGTATTGCATAGCACCTAGAACAGCATAGCCATATAGTTGATTACTTACTTTTACTACTTGTAATATCCATCATATTTATTTATCTTTGATCAATTGTTTTGTGTGTGAAAAATCATTTTGCCTGGCCTATTACAATAAAGAGTAAAGTTTTTGTTAACATACCTCTTAAATTACTCTTTCCAGCGAAAGGTTTGTTAGAGGGATGAAACTAAGTCAATTAATTTAAATATTAGTAATCAAAGTAAGTATGATTAAATGCAATAAGCTTATTTTGAGTTGGCTGATGCAAGCATTTTTAGAAAGCTGTCTCATCTTAACAATGGAAGATGCCTTTAATTCCCCAAGCTACGTAAAATAACGTTTCGTGATCCGGAATCTTGTTTCCTCTTTAGATGGGATAGAACCTGGAACACTAAAAGATTACAAAAAAACCTACAAAAGCGAGGAAACACAATAGCTAAAACTAAAGACAAATCGTTATTCCAGTAAAACGGAAATACGAAACAAATAAAAATATGGATACAAAAAAGAGATGGATTAAATCTTCCGCTCAACAAAAAATTGACAACATAAATGTACTAAGGAATAAAGGAATAAAATGCAAATGTAAGTTGCAAAAAGAATAATCCCGTTTAACCAAAATGTCACCGATTCACATTGCCGAAAACAATTTCTATAGTATAACATAAAAACTCTTTTCTAAGCGAATGTGTTGTAAAAGAGTCACTACGTTTCTTCTGACCTTAGGCTATAGAAACAACTATGGTATTGTAAATTTAAAATAACTCACGATTGAGCGATCACTTTCATTCAAATGCCAATGATTACCTTCCCTACCTACGTTGTCCTGTAGATTAGTTCATAAAATATTAATGATTGATATTGCGGCCCGCGCAGTGACTACTTGGCCTTGTAACAGATATGGGTCTGAGGCCTGAGCGATCACTGATTGTCGACCTGATATACAACCCCACGACAGTCGTGAGCAATCCCAACTTGTCGGGATCAAGTGGAATAAGTTGTCAATAGAGATAATGAGATTCGTGTCTCTATAAACAAGACTTCTGACAGTATCTTCAGGTGAGTGGGGGCATTTAACGTTGAAATATTACGGTTAGAATTGGGTGAGGTGAATAGAATGGTTTAAGATAATTTTAATTCAGTATTTCACATTAAAGGTGGAATATTTATGGTAAGCTATAGTGTTTGTGGAGTTCAAAGTAAATAAATCCTCTAAATGGAAGCCAACGCTTACTCAACCCAGGGTTGGTATATGTAAAAAAAATAAATAAATTGAAGCATTTTTTACACTAAAACCCGTTACATTCTCTTATAAATCGTCTTTTAAATAACGTTAACTTATAGAAAAATATTATTATTGCCTGTTTGTGACAACGGTATGCTTGAGTCCTTTTAAGTAAAATATAAGTTATTTTATTAAAATGCAATCAGCCACAGACAGAAAGTGTAATATATAAATTTTTGGTCATCGAGGACATAGCAAATAAGCATTCAAATTGTTTGAAGTATTGTGATTCTGGTGAGTAGCGCGGTAGGGAATACAAGCTAAGATCTTCATGGATGATTAGCACGACGGTAAATTGAGACTATGAAAGGCTGGAAATAAAGATATTAAGACGAGGTTCCCACAATATTTCATGAAGGGATCCTTCCGCAATTTTGATACCATCTCGCCGCAGGGGGATTATGTAATGTAACAGTGTTGATGCCGCACTGGGACCGTCCCAGACTTGAGCCAGCATCTCTGTGAGCTTAGCGAGTGTTTATACTATTTACTATACAGGGTGAATAAAAAGTCAAGACCCCCCCCATGTAATATTTTTCCAAGTAAATATACAGAGGTATCCTTTTGGTGGTCGTGCTATCTTAGCAGGAAGTTTCATTTTATGATTTTGAAAATTTTGAGTGTCCCCCCAAAAGGGGGATTTGGGGGGGCAACTTAAATATTTCAAATGTAAACCCCCTTCAAGTGACACCTCATTTTGAAGTGTTTACACAAACTTAAAGAATGGTGAAAACTAGAGGTCGCTATCTCTTCTCTATCAAAAATGGTAGCCCGTCAAATGTTGTGGAAAATCAATGGTAAAATTGGTTCGTAATGGTAATATTGGCTACCATTTTGGATAGAGAAGAGATAGCAAACTCTGGTTTTCACCATTCTTTAAGTTTTTGTAAACACTTAAAAACAAAGTGTCACTAAGTGGGGGTTTATATTTAAAATTTTTGAGTGTACCCCCATAAGGGGGGATTGGGGGGCAACTAAATTGTTTTCAATGTAAATCCCCATCAAGTGACACCTCATTTTAAAGTGTTTACAAAAACTTAAAGAATGGTGAAAACCAGAGTTCCCTATCTCATCTCTATCTAAAATGGTAGCCAATATTACAATTACGAACCAATATTAACCATTGATTTTCCACGACATTTGACGGGCTACCATTTTTGATAGAGAAGAGATCATTTTCACAACCTCTAGTTTTCACAATTCCTTAAGTTTTTGTAAACACTTCAAAATGAGGTGTCACTTGAAGGGGGTTTACATTTAAAATATTTGAGTTACCCCCCAAATACCCCTTTTGGGGGGACACTCATAAATTTTAAAATCATAAAATGAAACTTCCTGCTAAGATAGCACGACCATCAAAAGGATACCTCTGTATATTTTCTTGGAAAAATATTACATGGGGGGGGGTCTTGACTTTTTATTCACCCTGTATACATTACTATTACTGTCCCACGATTGGTGTTGAGTTTACTTGGAATATAAAACAAGAACATATTGTGTAAACGTGAATTTGAAAAAAAATTAACCAAGAGTGTATAAAACAATGTAATGTAAGGGGACAATGTAAGGGAGATTTAGGTTTAATACTGCGATGTGCCTAACTTGTACATTTCTGTAGTAATCTTGGCTGATCCAAGGCTATTTTAAGTTAGTAAATTTGTGACAAAACATTTGCATAAATAACTCCAGCATTTCAATTTTATCAAATACCAATCAATTATTCGAGATGGAGACGCCATCGTACAATATCGTTTGGTGATAGCTTGAACTGCCACCGCTTATACATAACATTTAGAGGTGGAAAACTAGCTTGCTTCATCTCCCGCATGTTGTCTACAACAATTTAATGTAGTAGGAAAGAAGCCTGATCTTACTAAGATCTTTTTTAAGGTTTTAAGATTTTTAAAGGTAGTGGGTTTAATCTAGTAATAAGTTTAAATAAAATTAGTGTTGGTTTCTAGCATGTAATCAAACATCTAACAAATACAATGATATGGTAGCTTTATATTTAGCTTGTAAACCTATCATGACTACTGTACCTGGAGTGGTCTAGGTCCCGCTTGTTGCCCAGCAACAGTGTGGTGTAGTAGGAAGGAAGCTTGAGTTTGCTGAGTTTGTCCAGCAACGTGTGAGCGTCGTTGAAGCTGTTCATGTCGCAGATGCTGTACACTACGACAAAGGCTTCTCCCCAGCGTATGTGATCGTACAGACACCCTGTTGCCTGAAATCAAATAAATATTTGGTTATTTTTCCATTAAACTAATATTTTTTTATTTTGATTCAAGTATGACATGCTGTAGATTTTTGCTGTACAGTTGTACCTCAATGCACCAGTACACTCTTGCAATGTACCAGCTCACATCTTGCACTTGCTGCGGTACGCTTATGTAGATACACAAATTCCAAATAAAAAGTGGTCACCAACCTGAAGACAAGAAATAAAAAATCTTATTTTGTCCTAACATATATTACAATAGAAGAATTTAGAAACAAATCATTAGTTTTGAGACAGCAAAGCCACCTACATCTGTATTTAAGTTCAATGATAATGTAAGAAGAGAGTAGAATGCGATGAGATGAGATGCACTCGATCAATTGTCTCTTAAGCCCGTACTATTTATCTAAATCACGATCAAGATCAACTGGACCCAGATGAAAACTATCAAAAGATACTGAAGTTTCTTTAAAACTCAGTTAGCTAAAATGGTCAACAATACTTGGTTTTGTTGTACTACACAATTTACAGATGATCGCTACTATCCGCTGTCTGATGTAACACGGTGGCCGCCTTCGCCCCCGCTATATCTCCGGAACTCTCCACGTCACGCACTCCAGGGTAGGACACCCGGGGAAAGTAAACAACACTTACATCACATATGATGTACGAGCACCTGCAGGACTGTCAATATTCCCACCAAGGGTCATCGAGTCAAACTTTATGAATTATATATGACGATTGCCTCATTATTGTTTTGCTGGGTAAGGTTTGCTCTTTGTGCGTTCCCATGTCTAGAAAGATGATATTCGGTGCTGTGTTTGATAGTATATTTTCAGTATAACTTTTGTAAAAGAACTAGAAAATAATTGTGAAAGGATTGTTACCAGATAAAATATTTCCATTTAGAGGTTGTGACAGATACAATCCATCAGCCATTGTATAATAGTATCCAAACCCAACTCAGGACGGAATGCTTTAATATAGTATATTGAGATGAACAATACTGCTCAAGTTGATGTTCTGTTAGTGAAGTTCGCGTAGGGAGTTGTGCTGTATTTATACTGTTTTTATATGCATTTATATGTATTTACACTGCATAGTCGGTGTTTCTCTAATGCAGTTTGCTTAGGTTTTATGCAGTATTTTAAGGTGTATAGCTTATGCATTTTGCGTATGTGTTATACCGTATTTAGTTTGTGTCCCGTTTAGGCTATATAGTTGCCGTATGTATTATGCGGTGCTTTAAGGTGTCTTATTCATGTAGTTCCCTTATGTTTGATCAAAGATAAAACATACCCCCTCATTAGATTTGTCATTCTCATAGATCACCTGAAGACAATTTTATTGGTAGTTCCGTCAGGTGCCACTAGGATAATGTTTTTGTTTAAAATTTCTTGTTATTGTAGTTATTTACAACCTCGTTTAGACAAATGAAACATGTCTAAACGTAGACAATAATTTGTCCCCTAGTTATGTTACTCAACTCTAAAGCACCACAAATCATTAAATTAACCTCTAAATGGAAACAAAGTTTTGTGACACTAGTTCCCAGTATCACCAAAATTTACTATTTTAGAAAAACAAACTTCAAAATTTTACAATGGGGTGTGAAGTATTCTTGTGTTTGGTTATCTAATGTTTTTATGCAGTATTTGAAGTTGTCTGTTTTATGAAGTTTGCGTAAGCCGTATTTAGCGGGTGTCCTGTTTAAATTAAGTTCGCGTGGGTTAGTATTTTGTTTATGTAGTTTGCGTATGTGTTAAGCCGTTTTAGTGAGTGACCTTTTTATGTAGTTTGTGTTTGTGTTATGCCGTATTTAGTTGAGGTCCTGCTTATGTACAGTAGTTTGCGTATGTGTTATGCCTATGCCGTATTTAGTTGGGGTCCTGTTTATGTACAGTAGTTTACGTATGTGTTATACCGTATTTAGTGAGTGTCCTGTTTAGGTAGTTCGCGTGGGTGTTATGCCGCATTTACTAGGTGTCCTGTTTATGTACAGTAGTGTGCCTATGTGTTATGCCGTATTTAGTGAGTGTCCTGTTTATGTAGTTCGCGTGGGTGTTATGCTGTTTTGCACTTTCCACGATCTCTGACCTGCCTCATGCTTTCTCTGTGGCTAACCAATGCTAATTGTCCACAACTGTGGATGTCACTGCTGACCCCTGCTCGGGTCACCCACAACTACTGCACATAACACGAGTCAACTCTACTGTAGACTGTAGTCAGTGACCGGCGTAATGGTCAATATCATACTAATCCATAGTGTCTACCTTGCTTTCATCAAAACATTTACATTTTACTTTAGATACACTACTGATAGTTATACATTCCATTTCCATGTTAAAGCTTTAATCAGTTTTATATTTTTACAACTACACAAATACTTATCCATCACACTTGAATTATAAAATATATTTTTTTTTGTATACACAACTTACAACTAAGCAAGACTGAACAGCCTCTTATCGTAATTTATAAATCTCCAATGACCATCAGAGTACCAAATCAGAACTGCAGTAGTGGGTTACTTCATGAGAGACTCATTCTATTTACGTAAATTTTTTACTGCTGACCTTTTTTCACTAGGCTGGAAATGTTTTACACAGGCTGGATAGGCATATGGTTGCTATATTATTACATAGCTATAACACCCGCTAGTCATTGACAGGATTTGAACTACTAGATTCCAGCGGGTAACGGAGAACCGGACACCTCTGGCCCTAGTCCGCATACAGAAGTTTGGTTAGGTTAGGTTAGGTTGGAATATATAAATATGGCCCCTGAATTTACGACCAGTGGCCGGTACCCCTAAACTCATGGCAAGCTCATTCCCCAGAGATGTGTGTCTATTTCAAAACCCAAGGCAATGTTCTATACTCTACTAATACTCTATTGTCTTAATGTCACAATTGAATATTGATAAGTGTATTTAAATACATTCGGAACCCCTTTGTTGAATTATTGTACCTCTATTGAATTGTTATAATTCTAATAAAAGTAATTTCATGCAAAACAACTGTTGTTATTTTGTCGACAAAATATTAAAAGATCCTAAGAACGTACTATTTGTAACCTCAATATATTTGTTAATAAACACACTTTTGCACCTCACCACAAAAACAACCCTCTGAAACCTAAAATGAAATATAAATTGTAAAAGATTTTCAATTTAAACTACGAAGTCGTGTGATCGTAAACCATAGGCCCAACCATTTGACGCACACGCACCGTGCAGGGGTTATCCTCTAATAATGGTTCATATTTGAAAGTTAGAATTTATAGCTGCTTATATTTAGGCAAAACAATGGGCATGAAAAGTGGTTATAGGAAAGTAAAAGTAGGCTAGGAGGGTCAGCGAGGCTCTCTTTCTCCTGTTGTAGTCATCGTTATAGACACAATACGTGTAACATATCAGGAGTTATCGGAGGCCGCCTACCGTCAGATCTAATCTCAGAGCTCACTTCAGTTTCTATCAGTATCAAACAACGATATTGTGAGCTGCATTGCTGCATTGCTTGAGAAAATATCACGCTGGTTACTATGTTGCATAATAGTGCCTAAACGGTTTTATAAAAAATATAGTTGTAGTTACTGCAATTATTAGTGAAAATAGATTATTGTTATGTTACCCAAATGTTTTTCCACTTTAACGAGGGTAAAAAAAAACTGTCCGTTATTCGATAGGTATATCTAGTTTAATTATCAATGGACATTTGTCTTTAGGGGTTGTTATACCCAGGTCATTAAGATATTGTTTAAACATAATTCAAGTCGTTTCAGAGATAAATTACAACTGAGCTAAAGGAACTCTATAGAATACAGTTTACACATTTTAACATCGTGAAGTTCCTACGACCACAGTTGGCAATATTTCACTAGCAGTTAATACAGGTATAGTTCTGATAAGATTTCATATTCTCCTTAATAAAAGATTTTTTAAATAAATATGTTGGTCAGGTAGACTACAAGAATTATCTAGCTAGTTGTGGCTTGGATGTCACTCGTCGCGGCCCGTGATTTGACAAAATGTACTCGTTCTCCCCTTGTAAATACCGATCGGTAAATGTGTATGTGTTTGTATCTTGTGAACTGTATATAGTTTTTACTAAATGGCGTCCAATGGACTGAACATTTTCGACTGGAAGCCTGATGATAGCACAACGTCGTGCTGAAACGGGCTTACCCCAACTCCGCGCGGTGGTCAGAAATCTGTCAAAACCGACTGCCCAACTCCGCGCAGTGGTCACTTCGGGTCCCTCGCGGCACATGCCCAACTCCGCGCAGTGGTCAATTTTGGCTCTCACAGCCCTGACGGATGAGAGTTTGTGCTCTAATTTTGAAATTATGATATATTTTAATCATTTATAAGAAAGGGAAAGTAAAAAGGTATATGCCTACCCAAAACAGGAGACGAAGCTTAAAAACCACTAATATAAGAAGTTTTAAAAAGCCCGTGAGAAAGAGTGACTGTAAATTTATATGTTCCAAAGTCTACAATACTCAATCATTCACATTAGCACTGGGTTTATGAGCTTACTGATAAACTTGAGTACCAAATTCAAAAATGTTAGTCTTGTAAACAACCACAGATTGCTTCAACAAATTGGCTGTAATCTCTGTTTCATAAAACAGTTAGCTATACACCTCAAATTGGGGAAAAAATTGGCTGAAATTGGTTTACGAGCATATTTCTTTTACATCTTATTAAAATTGGCAAATTTTACGTCTATGAAGAGGGTTTTCATTGAATCCAGACCCAGGCCAACGTTTTAGCGAATTTCCCATATAAAGGGTGATTGATATAAGTGTGCCAGCCGTTTTATTCGAAAACTATAAGAGATATCAAAAAAAGTTAAATGGTAAGTGCCTTGGATTTTTTATTAAAAAAATGGTAGTCAAGTCAAAAAATTATTTTAGCCACAATTTTTTCAATATGGCCGCCAACTTTGATTTTTCTTATGGAACACCCTGTATTTTATTATGTATTCTGGTAGAAAATGTAA